ATGATGGATGAAGGATGGATGAAGGATGGATGGATGGATGGATGAAGGATGGATGGATGATGGATGAAGGATGGATGATGGATGAAGGATGGATGGATGGATGGATGAAGGATGGATGGATGAAGGATGGATGGATGATGGATGAAGGATGGATGGCTGATGGATGGATGGATGATGGATGGATGGATGATGGATGGATAGATGGATGGATGATGAATGATGGATGAAGGATGGATGGCTGATGGATGGATGGATGGATGATGGATGAAGGATGGATGAAGGATGGATGGATGGATGGATGAAGGATGGATGGATGATGGATGAAGGATGGATGAAGGATGGATGGATGGATGATGGATGATGGATGAATGATGGATGAAGGATGGATGGATGATGGATGAATGATGGATGAAGGATGGATGGATGATGGATGGATGGATGGATGGATGAAGGATGGATGAAGGATGGATGGATGGATGGATGAAGGATGGATGGATGATGGATGAAGGATGGATGAAGGATGGATGGATGGATGGATGAAGGATGGATGGATGATGGATGAAGGATGGATGGATGGATGGATGAAGGATGGATGGATGGATGGATGAAGGATGGATGGATGAAGGATGGATGGATGATGGATGAAGGATGGATGAAGGATGGATGGATGATGGATGAAGGATGGATGGATGATGGATGAATGATGGATGAAGGATGGATGAAGGATGGATGGATGATGGATGAATGATGGATGAAGGATGGATGGATGATGGATGGATGGATGGATGGATGATGGATGAATGATGGATGAAGGATGGATGGATGAAGGATGGATGGATGGATGGATGGATGAAGGATGGATGGATGATGGATGAATGATGGATGAAGGATGGATGAAGGATGGATGGATGATGGATGGATGGATGGATGATGGATGAATGATGGATGAAGGATGGATGGATGAAGGATGGATGGATGATGGATGAAGGATGGATGGATGGATGAAGGATGGATGGATGATGGATGAAGGATGGATGGATGATGGATGATGGATGAAGGATGGATGGATGGATGGATGAAGGATGGATGGATGATGGATGAAGGATGGATGGATGGATGGATGAAGGATGGATGGATGGATGGATGAAGGATGGATGGATGAAGGATGGATGGATGATGGATGAAGGATGGATGGCTGATGGATGGATGGATGATGGATGGATGGATGATGGATGGATAGATGGATGGATGATGAATGATGGATGAAGGATGGATGGCTGATGGATGGATGGATGGATGATGGATGAAGGATGGATGAAGGATGGATGGATGGATGGATGAAGGATGGATGGATGATGGATGAAGGATGGATGAAGGATGGATGGATGGATGATGGATGATGGATGAATGATGGATGAAGGATGGATGGATGATGGATGAATGATGGATGAAGGATGGATGGATGATGGATGGATGGATGGATGGATGGATGAAGGATGGATGAAGGATGGATGGATGGATGGATGAAGGATGGATGGATGATGGATGAAGGATGGATGAAGGATGGATGGATGGATGGATGAAGGATGGATGGATGATGGATGAAGGATGGATGGATGGATGGATGAAGGATGGATGGATGGATGGATGAAGGATGGATGGATGAAGGATGGATGGATGATGGATGAAGGATGGATGAAGGATGGATGGATGATGGATGAAGGATGGATGGATGATGGATGAATGATGGATGAAGGATGGATGAAGGATGGATGGATGATGGATGAATGATGGATGAAGGATGGATGGATGATGGATGGATGGATGGATGGATGATGGATGAATGATGGATGAAGGATGGATGGATGAAGGATGGATGGATGGATGGATGGATGAAGGATGGATGGATGATGGATGAATGATGGATGAAGGATGGATGGATGATGGATGGATGGATGGATGATGGATGAATGATGGATGAAGGATGGATGGATGAAGGATGGATGGATGATGGATGAAGGATGGATGGATGGATGAAGGATGGATGGATGATGGATGAAGGATGGATGGATGATGGATGAATGCAGAGTCCTCTGCAAAAAGTCCCATCGCCACCATTGCCCCCCCAGAGTGCCCCCCGCCCCCTCTCCTTGCCCTGAACATGGATGAACAGACCTCAGGGGGCTGGTCTAAAGACTCCAAACTGACTGAGGGATTTAATCAGTGAGTTGGAGGTGAAGCTTCAAAGGTCTTGATCAGGCAGAGCTGGAAGGGAGAACAGGTTTTAATCTTCAGGCTGAGCCGTTGCTGCCTGAGGTCAGTCATGTCTGAACATGTCTTCAGCTCTGGTCGCCATCACCTCCCAACGCTGCACAGGCTACATGTGTTAAGTACAGCAGCAGACACCACTGACTTGTTGAACTTCTCTGATGGATGGACATTTGATTACTTCACCCAATATCCCCATTTCAAATGTGTCATAGTTCAACACACCTGTCTGCAGTTTTTCTGCTGTTATCAACTCATTACTCCATCCAGAAAAGATTCCCAAAGGAGTAAATCATGATAATCTAATTAAAATAAAAATAACTCAAATTATAGTAGTTATTTTTGGTGGTTTGTTTAACATATTGGTCTATTTAACATAAGATCTCTTTCCTCTAAAAGTCTGCTAGTTAATGACTTGATTTGTGATAATCACATTGACTTGTTTTGCCTTACAGAAACCTGGCTGCAGCAAGAGGATTATGTGAGCATAAATGAGGCAACTCCTTCAAGCTATTTAAATTTTCACATACCCAGAAGTTCTGGGCGAGGAGGAGGAGTAGCAACAATCTTCCAGTCTGACTTACTGATTACTCCCAAAACAGTTAATACCTACAACTCTTTGATCATTTAACCCTTAATTTCCCTGATCCAAATTTCAAGGCAGGAAAACCTCTTCTTTTTGTAACTTTGTATCGTCCACCAGGTCCTTACTCTGAATGTTTAGATGAGTTTTCAGAGTTCCTTTCTGATTTGGTATTAAATACTGACAGGGTCATCATAGTGGGAGATTTTAACATCCATGCTGACATTGAAGGCGATAGCTTAAGAGCAGCCTTTAATGCTATCTTAGACACTATTGGCTTTGTTCAAAATGTGAATAGTCCCACACATTCTCATCTTCATACTTTGGATCTTGTGCTGACATACGGCATAGAATGTGAAGAAATAACAGTATTTCCTCACAACCCTGTCCTCTCTGACCACTTTCTAATAACCTTCAGGTTTACTTTAACAGAGTTCTCCTCCCCCAAAAGAAGGTTACATTTTAGCAGATCTTTATCAGATAGAGCAGTTATACATTTTAAAGAATCTGCTTCACGTTCTCTCTCCTCTGTGTCGCTGAGCAGTGCTGCAGAGTGCAAAAGCTTAGCTTATTCCCCTTCACAGGTTGATGATTTTGTTGATGGGGTTGCTAGTTCTCTGCGTATTGCCTTAGACAACGCAGCTCCTTTGAAAATGAAAATAGAAAGCTTGCTCCTTGGTTTAATGCAGAGCTGCGTACTTTGAAGCAAAATGTTAGGAAACTGGAGAGAAAATATCGCTCCACAGGCCTGCGGGAGTCCTTCCTAGTCTGGAAAAATAGTTTACTGTGGTATAAGAGGACCCTTTGTAAAGCAAGAGCAGCATACTTCACCTCATTAATAGAGGAGAATAAGAATAATCCTAGATTTCTTTTTAATCCAGTTGCCAAACTCACCCAGAGCCATAGCTCTGTTGAACCATCCATTCCACCTGCTCTTAGCAGCAATGATATTATGGGATTCTTTATAAATAAGATTGATCTTATTAAAAATAAGATCATAAGCACTCCTCTATCCGCGATTGTACCTGAGGTAGTCATGGAATCTGAACCGGGTTTAGACTGCTTTGATCCAGTTGAACTTTCTGAATTAGCAAAACTATTGTCTTCATCTAAGCCTTCAACTTGGATGTTAGATCCAGTTCCAACCAGGTTATTTAAGGAGGTATTCCCTTTGATCTCCTCCTCCATTTTAGATGTGATTAATCTATCTCTGTTACAGGGATATGTACCTAAAGCTTTTAAGGTTGCTGGAATTAAACCTCTGCTTAAGAAACCGTCTCTTGACCCAGATGACTTGGTCAATTATAGACCTATATCCAATCTTCCTTTCTGATCTAAAATTCTTGAGAAAGTAGTTGCCAAACAAGTTTGCGATCACTTCCACCATAATGAACTTTTTGAAGAGTTTCAGTCTGGCTTTAGAGCTCATCATAGCACTGAAACAGCTCTGGTGAAAGTCACTAATGATATTCTCATGGCCTCAGATAATGGACTTGTATCTGTGCTCGTCCTGTTGGATCTCAGTGCTGCATTTGATACAGTTGATCAGAATATTCTTTTAGAAAGACTTGAATATTTTGTTGGAGTTAAAGGAACAGCTCTAGACTGGATTAAATTGTATCCATAAACAATAGCATCTGTATATATGCTATATATATATATAACTGTAAAAACCCTTTTTATAGTAATATCCAACTGTATATTATATTCGGTACATATCCAGCTGTAAATTTAGTTCATAATACTAGTGATCTATATATTATATTCATTATTTATATTGGTATTCATCTCTATACTCATTCAGTAGAACCCATGTCCTGTATTTATGGAACCATTATTTATACTGAACTTGCTGCTATTGCACTTCTGGTTAGACCTAAACTGCATTTCGTTGCCTTGTACCTGTGTAATGACAATAAAGTTGAATCTAATCTAAATGATCTAATCTATCTACCTGTATATCGGTGTATTCAGGATTAGTAAAGTATTTTTAAATTAATTTTACTTACCTTGATTAACACAGCAATGGATCTACATCAGAATGGCCGGGTCAAAGTCCACCTCTCAGGCTGTAGGGGTGCAGTGCTTACAGAGCTGAAACATACTGGTTGTGTTCATTCATGGGAGATACACTCTGTTTGCTTTATAGATTCAGCCATGAGGGGGTGCTCTAGCAATCTTCATCGATTTGTCCTCTTCACCATTTTCGGCTTGTTTGTCGGAGGAGCTTCTGTATCAGGACTGAGGATCTGCTCCTACAACGTGAAGCGCTTCAACTCAGAAAAAGCAGCAAAATATGCAGTCTTACATACGCTGACACGGGTACGACACACATTCACACAGATGCGCCGTGTACCACTATGGCCACCTTCCATTGACTTCCATTCATTTCTATGGCCTAACCCAAAGTTTTACCCTAACCACTAACCCTAACCAGAGAATAGCTAACTCTAACTATTAACATTACCATTAACATAGCATAGCTAACAGTAACTATTAACCTAACCATTACCAGAGCAGACTAACCCTAACTATTAACCTAACCATTACCAGAGCAGACTAACCCTAACTATTCACCTAACCATTACCAGAGCAGACTAAGCCTAACTATTAACCTAACCATTACCAGAGCAGACTAACCCTAACTATTAACCTAACCATTACCAGAGCAGACTAACCCTAACTATTCACCTAACCATTACCAGAGCAGACTAAGCCTAACTATTAACCTAACCATTACCAGAGCAGACTAACCCTAACTATTCACCTAACTATTACCAGAGCAGACTAACCCTAACTATTAACCTAACCATTACCAGAGCAGACTAACCCTAACTATTAACCTAACCATTACCAGAGCAGACTAACCCTAACTATTCACCTAACTATTACCAGAGCAGACTAACCCTAACTATTAACCTAACCATTACCAGAGCAGACTAACCCTAACTATTAACCTAACTATTACCAGAGCAGACTAACCCTAACTATTCACCTAACCATTACCAGAGCAGACTAAGCCTAACTATTAACCTAACCATTACCAGAGCAGACTAACCCTAACTATTAACCTAACTATTACCAGAGCAGACTAACCCTAACTATTAACCTAACTATTACCAGAGCAGACTAAGCCTAACTATTCACCTAACCATTACCAGAGCAGACTAACCCCAACTATTAACCTAACCATTACCAGAGCAGACTAACCCTAACTATTAACCTAACTATTACCAGAGCAGACTAAGCCTAACTATTAACCTAACCATTACCAGAGCAGACTAACCCTAACTATTCACCTAACCATTACCAGAGCAGACTAAGCCTAACTATTCACCTAACCATTACCAGAGCAGACTAACCCTAACTATTAACCTAACCATTACCAGAGCAGACTAACCCTAACTATTAACCTAACTATTACCAGAGCAGACTAACCCTAACTATTAACCTAACCATTACCAGAGCAGACTAAGCCTAACTATTCACCTAACTATTACCAGAGCAGACTAACCCTAACTATTAACCTAACCATTACCAGAGCAGACTAAGCCTAACTATTCACCTAACCATTACCAGAGCAGACTAAGCCTAACTATTCACCTAACCATTACCAGAGCAGACTAAGCCTAACTATTCACCTAACCATTACCAGAGCAGACTAACCCTAACTATTAACCTAACCATTACCAGAGCAGACTAACCCTAACTATTCACCTAACTATTACCAGAGCAGACTAAGCCTAACTATTCACCTAACCATTACCAGAGCAGACTAAGCCTAACTATTAACCTAACCATTACCAGAGCAGACTAAGCCTAACTATTCACCTAACCATTACCAGAGCAGACTAAGCCTAACTATTCACCTAACCATTACCAGAGCAGACTAAGCCTAACTATTAACCTAACCATTACCAGAGCAGACTAACCCTAACTATTCACCTAACTATTACCAGAGCAGACTAAGCCTAACTATTAACCTAACCATTACCAGAGCAGACTAAGCCTAACTATTCACCTAACTATTACCAGAGCAGACTAAGCCTAACTATTAACCTAACCATTACCAGAGCAGACTAAGCCTAACTATTAACCTAACCATTACCAGAGCAGACTAAGCCTAACTATTAACCTAACTATTACCAGAGCAGACTAACCCTAACTATTAACCTAACTATTACCAGAGCAGACTAAGCCTAACTATTCACCTAACCATTACCAGAGCAGACTAACCCTAACTATTAACCTAACCATTACCAGAGCAGACTAACCCTAACTATTAACCTAACTATTACCAGAGCAGACTAAGCCTAACTATTAACCTAACCATTACCAGAGCAGACTAAGCCTAACTATTCACCTAACCATTACCAGAGCAGACTAACCCTAACTATTAACCTAACCATTACCAGAGCAGACTAAGCCTAACTATTAACCTAACCATTACCAGAGCAGACTAAGCCTAACTATTAACCTAACCATTACCAGAGCAGACTAAGCCTAACTATTCACCTAACCATTACCAGAGCAGACTAAGCCTAACTATTAACCTAACCATTACCAGAGCAGACTAACCCTAACTATTAACCTAACTATTACCAGAGCAGACTAACCCTAACTATTAACCTAACCATTACCAGAGCAGACTAACCCTAACTATTAACCTAACTATTACCAGAGCAGACTAACCCTAACTATTCACCTAACCATTACCAGAGCAGACTAACCCTAACTATTCACCTAACCATTACCAGAGCTTAATTCAATTCAATTCAATTCAGTTTATTTATATAGCGCCAAATTCACAACACATGTCATCTCAAGGCACTTTACAGTTCAACCAGATCAAATTGATACAAAGTTTTCTATCTAAGGAAAACCAGTTGATTGCATTGACTCATTGACTCAAATACAATCCCCCACACTAAGCATGCTTGTAGCGACAGTGGAGAGGAAAAACTCCCTTTTAACAGGAAGAAACCTCCAGCAGAACCAGGCTCAGTGTGAGCGGCCATCTGCCGAGGCCGACTGGGGTTCAAGGAGACAGAAGCAGAGATACAAAAAGCAGCTGTAAAAGGCGGCCCCGTCCAGGAAACACACAGCCAGGCAGACGAGCTCCAAGGCAGCTCCCATGCCAGAGGACGAAGAAAGCACATCCACTCAGTCACGGTCAGAGAAACAGGACCACACTGGAAAACAGGCCGATCTCCAACATCTATAAACAAGGGTGTTGATAGAAGCAGCACAGCTGATGTTTCTTTCCAGGATGACGTCACAGCCAAACAGGAACAGACGAGGCAAAGCTACTCTGAGGAAAAGCAGAGAGAGCAGAAGGTTAGAGATTGAACTAACAGATTCTGCAGAATAGGAGAACAGAGAGAGAATGAAGCAGAATGATGAAATGGGGGTCCCTATGTCCTCCAAAAGTCTAAGCCTATAGCAGCATAACTATAGAGATAGCTCAGGATAACCTGAGCCACTCTAACTATAAGCTTTATCAAAAAGGAAAGTTTTAAGCCTAGCCTTAAAAGTAGACAGGGTGTCTGCCTCACGGACTTAACTAACAGTAACTATTAACCTAACCATTACCAGAACTTAACTAACCCTTACTATTAACCTAACCATTACCAGAACTTAACTAACCCTTACTATTACCCTAACCATTACCAGAGCTTCACTTACAGTAACTATTAACTAACCATTACCAGAGCTTAACTAACCCTAACCCAGCCATTAGTCCTTAAGCTAACTGCTATGAAAGAAGCTAAATGTCCCCTTTGGGACAAACGGTCCTCGGTCTGATGGTGAAACAGAGAGCACACACACACCTATTGCTGGACGGCCTTTTAGGAGCTCTTTGTGTTTCCAGTTTATCTTTTTCTTTATTTTTCTTTGTGTTTCATGTAAAGAAATTGTTAATAAATTAATTATTAATTAATTCCTAATATTTCATTCAGTTAATCTTGTAGTTGGAGCCCTCCGCCATCTTTGGACTCCAGTTTATCCCAACAAAATCAAAGGGAAAATATGAGAAGTTAGCAAATGTTTTTGTTCACCGATGTTTGTTGCTGTTTTCTTGTGCGAGCAGATCGTGTCGCGCTGTGATGTCTGTCTGCTGCAGGATGTGGTCGATTCCGATGGAAAAGCAATCGAACGTCTGGTTTCTTCGCTCAACAGGTACAAGCTGCTGAAAACGAGTCCATGTCCTAAAATCCTCCTCTGCTTCTTTCTTCTCCTGCTGGCTCTGGGTCCCACTAACACTAAAAGCTCATGGATTTGCTGTATGCATGTTGGGAGGCAGAGCGCCCCAGAGGGCCAAGGGGCCCCAGAGGGAGCGCCCCAGAGGGAGCACCCCAGAGGGCCCAAGAGGGAGGGCCCCAGAAGGCCGGGAGCGCCGAGGCGAGCCGATTCTGAGTAACACGAACCTGTTTGTGAAGAAGGAACTTAATGAACCAAATAGATATTTGAGTTTAACTTAGTTTATTTTGAGTCGTAAAATGATTTCAGTTTTTATGGCGGTTGTAGTTTTTACTCGGAGACGATGCTGCAGATCTGCCACCATCACAGTTTCTCCTCTGACATGTCGTCATGGATTCAAACCGGCCGCTTCTCTCCCTGGATGATGTCATTTTTCAAAACCGATATCATTCATATTAAAGTTCCCACGGTCCCTGAATGCCACAGCTGGTTATTTGTTGTTCAGTCATTATTCCACAGCCCGTCACCTGAGGCTCCGCCCCCCCGCGCCAAAACGGGGCTAAAAGTTCGGGGGGAGATCAGTAAATGGAAATAACATGGATGTGAAAATTGGTTTGAACTATATTTCCTTTTTTTTTTTTAAACTAAACAAATCCACCGTGTTGATATGTTGGATCTCAGCCCGCCGTCACGCCTCCATCTGATTGGTCAGATGTAGAGAGCTGACCTCCACTGATGGCGCGTCGTCTTACAGCGGTCAGTGTTACGCAGCGTTCTGATGGGGGAGGGGCGGCCCTCAGTATTTACCCATAAACCCACTGACCTCTGTCAACTGCTTCTATAGACAAGGTCTCCAAGGCAATGTCCTTCTTCCTAAACAGAAGTTGGAGATCCTCTTAGCAGAGCAGATGGTTTGGCTTTGCCACCAAGTCTCACTTCCCCTCCCAGTCGACCTCTGACCTCTGGGGTCACATGTTTTGGAGTTTGGGGAGTTTCCTGCGTCTTTTTGCTCTGAATGTTTCTGAATTAGTTTACTGTGGAGCAAACGGCCTCCTGCTGCGTCCGCAGCTTAGGGTCTGCAGGTCCGTCCTGTAGATGCAGGCTGTGGATGACGGCGCAGTTACAGCAGAGGGCCAGCAGGGGGCCTTACAGCCGGACAGAAGAGCCTCTGCCTTCATCTCTGCCTTTAACCTTTTATCCTCCATGTTGGAACATTGCTTCTCCTTCCTCCTTTTCAGGGATCTCACTGCTCTTCCTCAGTCTTTAGAGCCCCCCCCTTGGCCCCCGTAACCCCCCCACCCCACCCCCCTTATCTGTAGCACCATGTTTTTCAGCAGCAGGTATTAATCATGTTTCTGCCGTCTGCCTCCAACAGGAAATCGGACAGGTACAGTGATAACCTTCATCTCCTCTTTCTCACTATTTTCACTTTTCATTGTGACTGCGAAGCTGCAGGTTCGCTATTGATCGGATGAAATGGTTCTGGGCATGTGGATAGAGAATTACTATGGCCCAAAATTATTCATACCCCTGGCAAAACATGAGAACTTTCTGTTTAGAGCTGAGGTGATGAACAAACATCTTGCCGTTAGTCTGCAGGTTTGCTCTGGGATGTTGATCAGATCCTCCTTCACCTCTTCTGGCCCCCTCCACAGCGTTGGGCCTGGGCCGTTCCAGAACCTTCTTTAGGTTCTTCAGAATGTTCTGGGCCGTTCCAGAACCTTCTTTAGGTTCTTCAGAATGTTCTGGGCCGTTCCAGAACCTTCTTTAGGTTCTTCAGAATGTTCTGGGCCGTTCCAGAACCTTCTTTAGGTTCTTCAGAATGTTCTGGGCCGTTCCAGAACCTTCTTTAGGTTCTTCAGAATGTTCTGGGCCGTTCCAGAACCTTCTTTAGGTTCTTCAGAATGTTCTGGGCCGTTCCAGAACCTTCTTTAGGTTCTTCAGAATGTTCCGGGCCGTTCCAGAACCTTCTTTAGGTTCTTCAGAATGTTCCGGGCCGTTCCAGAACCTTCTTTAGGTTCTTCAGAATGTTCCGGGCCGTTCCAGAACCTTCTTTAGGTTCTTCAGAATGTTCCGGGCCGTTCCAGAACCTTCTTTAGGTTCTTCAGAATGTTCCGGGCCGTTCCAGAACCTTCTTTAGGTTCTTCAGAATGTTCCGGGCCGTTCCAGAACCTTCTTTAGGTTCTTCAGAATGTTCCGGGCCGTTCCAGAACCTTCTTTAGGTTCTTCAGAATGTTCCGGGCCGTTCCAGAACCTTCTTTAGGTTCTTCAGAATGTTCCGGGCCGTTCCAGAACCTTCTTTAGGTTCTTCAGAATGTTCTGGGCCGTTCCAGAACCTTCTTTAGGTTCTTCAGAATGTTCCGGGCCGTTCCAGAACCTTCTTTAGGTTCTTCAGAATGTTCCGGGCCGTTCCAGAACCTTCTTTAGGTTCTTCAGAATGTTCCGGGCCGTTCCAGAACCTTCTTTAGGTTCTTCAGAATGTTCTGGGCCGTTCCAGAACCTTCTTTAGGTTCTTCAGAATGTTCCGGGCCGTTCCAGAATGTTCCGGGCCGTTCCAGAACCTTCTTTAGGTTCTTCAGAATGTTCCGGGCCGTTCCAGAACCTTCTTTAGATTCTTCAGAATGTTCTGGGCCGTTCCAGAACCTTCTTTAGGTTCTTCAGAATGTTCTGGGCCGTTCCAGAGTGTTCCGGGCCGTTCCAGAACCTTCTTTAGGTTCTTCAGAATGTTCCGGGCCGTTCCAGAATGTTCCGGGCCGTTCCAGAACCTTCTTTAGGTTCTTCAGAATGTTCCGGGCCGTTCCAGAACCTTCTTTAGGTTCTTCAGAATGTTCTGGGCCGTTCCAGAACCTTCTTTAGGTTCTTCAGAATGTTCTGGGCCGTTCCAGAACCTTCTTTAGGTTCTTCAGAATGTTCCGGGCCGTTCCAGAACCTTCTTTAGGTTCTTCAGAATGTTCCGGGCCGTTCCAGAACCTTCTTTAGGTTCTTCAGAATGTTCTGGGCCGTTCCAGAACCTTCTTTAGGTTCTTCAGAATGTTCCGGGCCGTTCCAGAACCTTCTTTAGGTTCTTCAGAATGTTCCGGGCCGTTCCAGAACCTTCTTTAGGTTCTTCAGAATGTTCTGGGCCGTTCCAGAACCTTCTTTAGGTTCTTCAGAATGTTCCGGGCCGTTCCAGAACCTTCTTTAGGTTCTTCAGAATGTTCCGGGCCGTTCCAGAACCTTCTTTAGGTTCTTCAGAATGTTCCGGGCCGTTCCAGAACCTTCTTTAGGTTCTTCAGAATGTTCCGGGCCGTTCCAGAACCTTCTTTAGGTTCTTCAGAATGTTCCGGGCCGTTCCAGAACCTTCTTTAGGTTCTTCAGAATGTTCCGGGCCGTTCCAGAACCTTCTTTAGGTTCTTCAGAATGTTCCGGGCCGTTCCAGAACCTTCTTTAGGTTCTTCAGAATGTTCCGGGCCGTTCCAGAACCTTCTTTAGGTTCTTCAGAATGTTCCGGGCCGTTCCAGAATGTTCCGGGCCGTTCCAGAACCTTCTTTAGGTTCTTCAGAATGTTCCGGGCCGTTCCAGAACCTTCTTTAGGTTCTTCAGAATGTTCTGGGCCGTTCCAGAACCTTCTTTAGGTTCTTCAGAATGTTCTGGGCCGTTCCAGAACCTTCTTTAGGTTCTTCAGAATGTTCCGGGCCGTTCCAGAATGTTCCGGGCCGTTCCAGAACCTTCTTTAGGTTCTTCAGAATGTTCCGGGCCGTTCCAGAACCTTCTTTAGGTTCTTCAGAATGTTCCGGGCCGTTCCAGAATGTTCCGGGCCGTTCCAGAACCTTCTTTAGGTTCTTCAGAATGTTCCGGGCCGTTCCAGAACCTTCTTTAGGTTCTTCAGAATGTTCTGGGCCGTTCCAGAACCTTCTTTAGGTTCTTCAGAATGTTCTGGGCCGTTCCAGAGTGTTCCGGGCCGTTCCAGAACCTTCTTTAGGTTCTTCAGAATGTTCCGGGCCGTTCCAGAATGTTCCGGGCCGTTCCAGAACCTTCTTTAGGTTCTTCAGAATGTTCCGGGCCGTTCCAGAACCTTCTTTAGGTTCTTCAGAATGTTCTGGGCCGTTCCAGAACCTTCTTTAGGTTCTTCAGAATGTTCCGGGCCGTTCCAGAATGTTCCGGGCCGTTCCAGAACCTTCTTTAGGTTCTTCAGAATGTTCCGGGCCGTTCCAGAACCTTCTTTAGGTTCTTCAGAATGTTCCGGGCCGTTCCAGAACCTTCTTTAGGTTCTTCAGAATGTTCTGGGCCGTTCCAGAACCTTCTTTAGGTTCTTCAGAATGTTCTGGGCCGTTCCAGAGTGTTCCGGGCCGTTCCAGAACCTTCTTTAGGTTCTTCAGAATGTTCCGGGCCGTTCCAGAATGTTCCGGGCCGTTCCAGAACCTTCTTTAGGTTCTTCAGAATGTTCCGGGCCGTTCCAGAACCTTCTTTAGGTTCTTCAGAATGTTCCGGGCCGTTCCAGAATGTTCCGGGCCGTTCCAGAACCTTCTTTAGGTTCTTCAGAATGTTCTGGGCCGTTCCAGAACCTTCTTGACTCCATCAGAGCTATGTTGGTCAAATTGATTCAGATGTAAGGGGTATGAAAACTTTTGGGCCTAACTTTACTGTGGAGAAGAAGTGCATGAAGAAGGCCAGGAACGTCTGGCTAATGGTGAGCTCCTACGGCTTTGGGCCTAACATCGTTACCATGACAACCGCCTGATGCAACGGCTCCTTTAGGTTCTCCAATCAGAGGCTCTCTCTCTCTCTGCCATCTTCCTCTCTGGGTTAATTTGGTGACTGGCTGAATGTGAAGGATCAAACTAACCTTCTGACTGGGGGGGGGGGGGGCAGCTGATCCAAAGCAATTTACAGATTCTGGTATTTAATGAGTAAAATGCAAAAACACACCACATGACTGAGGAAGCTTAGGAATGGAAGCTGGTGAAATCATAAAGGGAGGGGCCCCGTGGCGCCATCATCTGAAAGCGTCCGGGTCCCTCTGTACGCTGGCGTGGTTCATCGATTCATGCAGCGTTCGCAGCGTATCTTTCTGCAGAGGAGCGGGTAGAGAGGCAGGGCTTCCATCAGGACCTGGTGATCCAGTCATTCCATTAAAGCGTTAACCAGTTAACCAGTTAGCATCCAGTTCCAGGCTTTATAAAGCCTTGTTTTGCTTTAGAAAACATGCAAACTGGACCAAAAGTGCATTAAACGTTATGTCTGACATTTTGAATTGAAAAAGCTTCCTGGAAGGGAAGTGAAACGTCTTCAAACTTGGAAACAGAGACGGACAGACGCTCTTCAAGCTGCCAGTTTTTGGCGTTTTGAGCATCTAATGAGATCTTAGAAACAGAATAAAGGACGTTACTAAAACGGCCCCTTCTGTTAGTAAAATCACTCTTTGTGTTTAAGGTTTGGTAAATTTAATCATAAACCATCTTTTGCTGCTTTTTCTCTTCAGGGAACAAAGACTGAATCATCTTCAGCGTATTTATGCACAGTCAGTTCCCACGCCTCTGATAACAGAGGGGTGTTCAGAGAAAAAGCAACCAGGAACAAACCTTTCCTCTGGTTCACTAGTTTTTCTGCCATAGTTTTATCACCTTTTCTGGTGTTTTTTCTTCGTCTCTGGAGGAAATTCTGAAGACTGCATCGTTTCTGCTGCTGTTGCTTTCAGTCTTTAGCTTTGCAATCTGACGATTGCCTAAAACGCAGCCGGACTTGATCTGGCTTCCTTCCCAAAGCTACGGCTAAGCTAATTTAGCTAAACTGTCGTTAGCATTTGTTAGCATCTATAAATTTGGGGTTTATGCTTCATAACCTAAAATGCTGTTTGTGCATTTCAACTATTAAAGGAATAGTACACCCAAAAGGTCTATGGTGACCGAGACAGAAAGGTCCATAAAAGTCCACAAAAAACGTGTCAATATTCCTCCATACTGCTCGTCCAATGTATTCCAAGTGTCCTGAGTGGGTAGCTTCCAGAATTTACTCGAAACGAAGTCATTTAGAATGTTTTTAGAGCATAAACAGTAGTGTATAGGATTTCCTGAAAGCGCGTTCACGAGTCTACGGAAGCCGGCAGACCAAACCAGATGAAAGTGCGCATTCAGCTCGGCAAAGAACTCATGCTCTTCCTCAACACTGAAGTCCTCAGACATTTTTCTTTCATTGTTTCTTTCTTTGCACAGGTAAACAGCACATTTCTTCTTCTACGCTTGCATTATTGGAAGAGCAGACGCTGAATGCGCACTTTCATCTGGTTTGGTCTGCCGGTTTCCGTAGGCTCGTGAACGCGCTTTCAGGAAATCCTATACACTACTGTTTATGCTCTAAAAACATTCTAAATGACTTCGTTTCGAGTAAATTCTGGATGCTACCCACTCAGGACACTTGGAATACATTGGACGAGCAGTATGGAGGAATATTGACACGTTTTTTGTGGACTTTTATGGACCTTTCTGCCTCGGGCACCATAGACCTCCATTATTTGAATGTCAGCAGACAGCAAGAAGCCTCCCAGATCTCCAGATGCATTTGAGATATCAAAAAAGTACTCCAGAGTGTTGTTCAGCATGGGGGTGAGTAGAAAATGAAGGCTAATCATGTTTTGGGTGTACTATTCCTTTAATATCAGGTCTTTTAGTTGAAAACGAACTAGATTTCTTTGTTGTTTTTTTTAACAGGTGAAATTATGTAAATATCAGGAATCGGTTGTTGCAGACGAGCTCAAATGGTTCCAGGTTTTCTGGATCAAACCAATTTTATCTGACTTTGGGAGGAATGTGATGATAATGAGAGATTGGAACGGCTGGGATCAGTAAAGGTTTGTTGTTTTTCCAGGTATGACCAACATCGTTATGAGGCTGTGGCGAGTGGCGCTCTGGGGAAGGCCTCTGACCTGCAGAAGTACGTCTTCATCTACAAGTAAGATATTTATCCTTTCTGTTTAATCAGTGGAACGTTTTTATTATTTTCCTTCCAGCATTCAGACCTTCCTAACGGCTGCATGGCTCCTCCAGCCTTAATGAGGGCCACCCTTCCATAACCCTAATCTTTAGGTCCCTCCTCTCTGGCCTGGACTCTGAAGGCTGGTTTATGCTCAGAAACCAGGTGGTCTGCTGGTGTGTCTCAGTGACGCTCTGCTGCACCTCTGCTACATTGTAGGTGAGCGCAGACAGGAGGCCTCTGATTGGTCAGATCTCCATCCGCTCTACTCTACGCGTATTTCCTGGTTGGTTCCTTACCGGCTCGTTCTGTTTGTCTGACCGCCATTATGGAAAACGCCTGGAGAAGATGGAGCAGCTAGCAGAGCGAGAACGCTGGGACCCTTTTTCCACCTGGATCCCCGCTCTTTTTGGCCCTCATGTCCCTCCGTTGTCAGACAAACTCACCCCCACTTCCTCATCGGCCGTATCTAGACCCACAGCTGGTTCCTGATTGGCCCTCTGGCGTTGTGGCGTGGAGTAACAGCGCAGACCACGCTTCAATATTGGGCAGAAATCAAACATACCTGCGACAGGCGGGACGATAACCAGACCTTTAGGGGGCCCGTCTAGAAGGTCAGGCACCTGCTGATCAGTGGATGCAGGGGTGTGAAGAATTCTGCTGTATTAAGGGGGGGGGGCTAGTGGTGAGAACTTTGAATCCAGAGGTTATGAGTTCGAGTCCCACTGCCACAGCCTCTACTCTGGCTCCCTGAGCAAGACCCTTAACCCCACACTGCTTCCTGGGTGCCGCACAATGGCAGCCAACTGCTCCCTAAGGGGAGGGGCTAAATGCAGAGAATGGAATGAGAATAAAAGCTGGGGGGTCCGTCTGTTTCCCACCTCCTGCACTGAGTCCAGAGGGCATCCAATCACAGCTGGCCTTCCTGATCAGCTGATCTCAGCTCCAGATGAGCCGCTGCTCCATAGAAGATGGCTGATGCCACAGCAGAGTCAGAGAAGGTCTTTAGGACCCCCCCCCCCCCCCCTGATGCTCCATCTTCTTCTTGTAGCTGAAGGATAAAGCTGCTGAATCCATCATCCAATAAACACTGAAAGACTTTGAGAGAAATGGTGACCAAGGTTCCTGCAGGTCCTTAAAAAGTCTTAAAAGGCATTGAAATCTTCAAAATAAAACTAAGGCCTTAATTGGTATTAAAATGTCTTCAATCAGTCTTTCGTAGGTCTTAATTTTTAAAACATCATAAATAGGATCATTTTTATTACGATTTATTTTTGTAATCTAAATAAAACAATAAAATTTACTTTTTTTTTAAATTAAATAATAACGGCTCTCCATTATTGGTTCCGTCCCGATAGCGGAACCAATAAAGCGTTGTTGCTGCCGGGACATTTGGGAGATGCACCATTAACCTTTTATCTAGAAAATCTGATCAAGTGTAAATGTAACAATAATTGTCTCCAGCTAAGAGTTTCCTCCATGGCTAAAACCAGGGAACAT